AATAAGTGGATTGTTGATTTTCAAACTATGCTGTTATAATTGTAACAAAGTCTAGTTAAAGACTTAAATTTAAATATTCACACTAAAATTAGACACAATATATATGCTAATTTAGTGACCGCATGATTACATTAAATTACTGCTTAGTGCCTATTCACCAATAATTGAACAAACCTTTTTGTTGAAAAAAAACTTATGAATCCTTTCAGTGATTATAGCAGGTCATGAATTTCATAATTTTTATATATTGACACAAATATTTTGGGGAAAATTGTAGTTCATTTTCAGTTGTGATTTCTCACCGCAACCTGAATCCACACTTAACCCTAAACAAAAAAACCAAAGAACTGTGGATGCTGGAAATCAGAAATAAAAACAGAAATTACTAGAAAAACTATTATTTTTCATGGAAAATAACAGGCTAAGAATGAGTCATAATATATCAGCAGATCACCAGCTTAGTGTACCACAAGCAAGACAGGAGGAAGAAAGTATTTGCAGCACGAATAGAAAGCTGATTGATGGACAAGCAGGAATAGTTATTGCAGAGTTGGGAAAAAGATTGAAAGCTATGTATTGCAGAGATCAATACTGGGTCCATTTTTGTTCCCAATGTTGTTGATTTGGTCTTAAGCAAATAGAGTTCATTATCAAAACTTACTGAGGACCCAAGAGAGGAGGCGATGACAAGGAAAGAAGGCCAATATGAATCTTCAGGAGAATGTAGACAGATTTGGAGAATAAGCAGAAAAATGAAATTTTCAATGGAAAGTCACTGAAGATCAGGAGATCAAATTAATTGTTTTGTTGAAAGCCCAGTTAAATAAATTAACTAAAGGTATTTTGAGTTTTATAAACAAGAACACAGTGTACAACAATGAAGACATTATAAAGATATTTACTCAAAACTTTGGTTTGGTCTCAGAAAAGTCATTAGTCCATATTTGGACAACCATTATAGAAAAGACATTAAATTCATGGTGCGGAGAACAGATTCACTACCATAGCAGAGATGAAAAAGTATAGTCATAAGAAACAACATGAGCACCAAAGGTTCTCTCACTGAAGCTGAGAAGGCTAAGGCAACCTCAACAAGATTTTTCAAATGATAAAGAATTTTGAATGTGAAATGAGGGAAACGGTTTCTTCTGGTTAGAAAAAACAGTAGTAAGAGAAAATCAATTTAAAATTTACAGACAAATAGAATGAGGTGAGAGATTAAGAGATTTATTATTCATGGAATGTAATGTCACAACAGCAAAGGACAAGAGAGCCGGCACAGACACAATAGCCCAAATGATCCTCATTTTGTGCTGTCAACATCTATGAAAACAAACTGTTCATGCATTTTGAAGCCAAGCAGGATAACTGTTCATTAATTCAGAACTTGGAATCAACCCAGGTTTTGAAAATAGTTAAATCTGCTGTGGGAAGATTACCAATAATCTGTTTTGAGTCCCTTGGTAAATCACATGGTACAATCCCATAAGGGGTGACCATTTCTGGGTTTTAAATTCCATAGATACTTGACAGCTTTATGTAATATTGGTAGTTGCCTATCTAATTTCCTTTAGTCCAGTTTGGAGAAGAATTATTTCTAAGTCATTCTATGACAATAGTTGGCATTTCTTGTGCAATCATTGTAGAGGCAAACATTCAAAGGGTAACTGGACACACGGAGCTTTGTCTCTCTCTCCAGGCATTCTCATTCATTCCTCTTAGCTGAGTATTCTGAGGGTTAGCAATGTGTTGGGTTTTGTTTTGATATCCAAGATGAAGTCTACTATTGTCCAATCTTTAATTTCAACAAACAAAGGCCTAACATATTGCTCCAATGGCAATAAGTGAGAAGACTGTATAAAGCGGAGGTTGACCCCCACCCCTCCCCCGTCTGATAACTAAAACCAAAACACCAAGAGAGAAGTGCCTCACCCTATAATCTGTTAAGAGGAGTGTGAGAAGGGGTGTAATCCATTTTTTCAGCAACTCTTAGCGGTTAAGTAAAATAAACCCCTGACACTCACTTTATAATCAACAAGTAACAATTTATTTATCTAACTCTAACAGTGAGCAAATTAACTAAATTATTAACAAACCGAATAAACCCCTTCTAACTATTAACCATTCCCAAATAACAAGATTCTAATCGTATGCCGTTTCAACAAATACAAGCCCCACCTGTATAAAACAAAAAATAATAAAAATAGAATTTACAGAAATTACAGAAATCTCTAGAAATTACAGCCAGGTTACATGTCTTCCAGCAGGGTCTGTGCCTTCTCCGTCGAATGTTCTGTCAGGAATTCCTTCTCCATCTGATTCTTCTGTCAGGAATATTAACTAGTTGTGCCGTGGGTACCTTTGATTTCGATGGTGCTTTCTCTAAAACTTTGTGAAGACTGTGAGAGCTAGCGAATCACTTTTGAGGGCTGAGAGCTGTTAACTCTTGCAGATGGCAGTTCGCTCTCCCGTCTTCGTCTAATTGCCCCCTCTTTTATACCCTTGATGACATATTAATATTATTTACAATAGGATTGGTCCTATGTTGTAAAAACCATCAAATTTAAATTTAATTGCTTTTTGGTATCTGGGTGCCTAGCTCAAATTAATTGGCTAAATTCAAAACTTGTCTTGATAACAAAACAAAACTGCTGCTTGGCCTGCTGACTGTATAGCCTTTTGTTACAAATGTTTCAATTCAGATGCTCTATGCACCTGCAAACGCACAAGCTGCTGCCCACCGACATCCTTTTTGAATGTCTGAGCATAGAAAAAGCACATCATTTTTTAAAGGGACCACACACTGACTTTCCCCCCAAAAAATCTTACAAACACCAAATTCTAACGACCTGCCTTCCAATCCATAAATATGCTACCCAACTTCACAACAGTCTGATGTTAAAAGAGAACATCAAACATCCTGACAATTTCAAAGAGCAATTTACACCAAAAGTCATTTTCTGAGGAGGCTATACCACTAGATATTGGGCTTACTGTGGAAAGCGAGGTTCCAATTAAGGGAATGGTCCCTATATATACGTAAGAGAATTATCTGATGAAACATTAAAATTGTAACAAGGAATCTTCTATAATTGTCATGTATGATTTTTTAGTGGTCAAAGAGCTACTTCCTACTTTTCATTTAAAGCCTAGTCATGAGAAAATCTGTGAGAAACTGGGAAAGAAGACATTTCTCATTCACAAAACTCAGCTGGGATGCCTTCATCAGCATGAAAGCAAACTTACATTCTAAAACATTTCTATTCACATTTACAATAATTTGCATAATGATTGCTTTTATTCTTTTTGGTGACATAGTGTGATGATTTTGAATGTGGAAACAAAGAGCCTCAGTTGGTAAAATCAATGTATTTTCAACCATTCAGAAATCTAAAGTCTTTCTCTCCAAAGCACCAATGAAGCATTCAATTGTTTAACAATTCCAGGATTCTGGTTGTCTCTGCTGTATATAAAAAAAATTCACATGTTTAGTCATTATGCAAAGAACTTCAATAATCAGTTCTAAAATCACCTTTTACTAATTTCAGCACAGGACTCCTGTATTGATCCCTATAGTCTAACTGAAAGTAAAATTTGCTTGTATTTTCTATGTCTCTAATCTTACATATCACCTTATAAAATCACCTGTCGTACACTTTTCTCTGCTACAAAGCCAAAACTTAAGCGGGGGGTGGGGGGCGAGGAAGACAGGTAAAATCAGTCTCAAAGCTCTTTTATGCATTTAAATACTGAAGTCAATGTCTCCTATATCTTGGCAATCAAAACTGGTGCAATCTGAGCAGAATACGATAAATGTAAATCTCATTAATTCCTCTGATTTAAACTGTTTTGACAAGGTCGTCCAACATGTCATTTAACTTTGTTGGTTGCAGAGGCCACAGCGATTCCTAGATTTCTTCCAGCTTCATCCTTACCTATTACTGCATTCTGCATCTATGTGTCATCTATTTCTTTACAACACTTTACATTTCTCCACATTACATTTCATCTAGCATTGCCCTTATTCAACTCATTTCATAATTTCTCAGCTGCCTTCTCAGATTTCTCTACCGCACCTGGTTTGGTATTATCTGCAAATCTGGCTACTCTGTATTGAATTTCTGAATCCAGGTCATTAGAAATAATTAGATCCAGCATCAAAATCCTAAGGCGCCGAACACGGTCATATCCTTCACAATGACATTTCGTTTCCAGCGAGAAAACCGTACTTCCTACCCATTCGTTAGTTTCTATTCAGCCTTAAAGCTCAAGCTTAAAAAATCTTTTGCACAGAACTTTATCAAAAACAATTTTCTCCTTGCCGGTAGACATTTCAGCTCCATTGTTCATGTTTCATTCTCAAGCCACAAGCAATAAGCAGAAACAATCCTTGAAAAACCAGATATAGAAATAAATGCACGTGGGAATGGAACAGGGAAGAAATCCACTACTTCCCCTAAGGACTCTTAAAGCTGACCCAGTGAAACATGTCTTATTTTTAAAAGTGAAAATATTTAAAGCATGCTTCCTCCCTTTTAAAACGTAATTGCACAAATCTCGCAGGCATAACGAAAAGTTCCTTTTGAAGTTCCAAGTAATTCAAGGCCGTCCCTTCAAGAAAGTGACAAATATTTGAGGAAACGTCGTTGTTGAACATAAAACTAGGTCAGTTACATTGAGTATCCTTTTGAAATACAGGGACAATAACCTAGAGTACAAATTATATGGTACATCGCTATCAGATGTTGACAAAGTAAGTGGTTAACAAATACAGAAAGCGATCTGTATCTCATCTTCCCCGATCCCAAAGTTTAACTTTTTTTTACCAGCGATCTGGGAATCATTGTTTTCACTGCAATGAACGCGTTTCCACCTTTAAAATTTAAATACTTTAATTCCGTCGCACAAATCACTGCTTTAGAATTCAACCCTGATTTACAAGGAAATAATTCAGAAGATAAGAAACTGGTACAAAATCAACGAGATTTGAGTTTCTTTACCTCCGGCACTCGTCTTAATCTCACTTTGTTCCTCTCATTCAAACGACTCGCTCTTCCCGCAGCACAACTGCTGCACGCAGCAAAAGCTCCTGGTGGACCTTGCAGAATTACTTTTTAAACCTTCATGAAGAAAGAAGGTTTGAAAGCGCAGGACACCTCCTGGAGAACACTACCGCCCTCGAGTGTTGCTCCACTCACAGAGGCCGCGGGCGGGGCCAACTCCGGGCCGCTCGCGCTCCCGCCGGCCGTTAGTGAGAGCCGCTCGTGGCCCGCGCGCCTTCCCTGGGTCCTGCTGCCATCTGCCAGCTGCTGGCGTCACACGCACTGCGAGGGGCGCAGCGCCGGAGAGGGAAATCAAACGACAACTACACCTCATCTACAGAAAGCAGGAATCCTCCACTTTAACTGCAGAAGGCAGGACCCTCCATTTTGACCACAGAGGTGTGGGAAAACCAGCACCAGTGAAACAGGTCTGTTATACTGCAGAAACAAAAGCCCTTAAAGCACAGAGAATAAAGCAGAATTCATATAACTTGAGAATTAAAAGTTTTTAATGCAAAAAGAATAAATAATCACATGAGGAAATGGCAGCATAAAGACACTGGCTGAAACATTTAATTTCATAAATGAGCCAATTAGAAGGCAGAATTGGATATCATGGAGAACACAGCTTTTGAGATGCAGAATTGTTTCTAAACAAAACACGTTAACACATTTTTGGTTGCAACTGGGACTACAGCCGAGGATGCTGTAGTTCACCAAGACATAAAATAAGTCACAGATACATTTGATGAAGTTTAGCATGCTTTTGGGAATCATGGACGGAATTTTTTTTTCTGGGGACTGAAATCAGAAAAGGATAGTTTTTAAAACCTATCCTTGTGGAAGCATTTGCTGCATGTTTTAAAAGCAAGCTAATTTTATACTTGTTTGTTAAAGCAATGAGGCAAGATTAGTTGCACCAGGGGCCTATACAAAATAAAATTTGACCAGCAGCATGTAGGTGATGGGTCTGTGTGGTGATGACCAGTTGTTGGTTACAAAGGCTTCCTGTGTGTCAAGAAAAATGTGATTGGTCTCCAGAAACTGACCAGCTTATGGGTATGAATGAGAAAGGGAAAAGACTTTGGACCTCCTAAAGGTAAGATGGTGTCCTTTTCTCTAAAGTAATAAAGAACCTGTAGCCTGAAGAAGGCAAGTTTATTTTCATTCACCAGTTGCTGCAAATTGTATTTTGAAAAAATAAGCAGAGTGTTTCTATGTTGTGAACCAGTCACCCTGTGACCCCTGCAAGCAAGCGAAAGTACCTGGAGAAGAGAGATCAACAAACATCAAAACCTGACAAGCAAAAGGATCATCTCAGTCAACCCTGTGCACAATGGCCATTGAACTTCTGGTTTTTCCCTCCACCAGTGCTTTTCTTTTTGTGTGTGTGTGTAGCAGGAGTTTGATACAGTAGAGATCTATCTAAGGTTCTCGAGTAGATTTGTAGCTCGGGTTGTGGATGCTGTGGTTAGTTTGCTCGCCAAGCTGATTCATTAGTTCACAATTATTTAATAATAATATTTAATACCAGGCAGGAAAACACAATAGCACTTCATCGGAGGCTGCACTGATGATGTTACCCAGCAGGGCAATGAAATGTCTGCGAATTAACGAACTGGCTCCGTGAGTGATCCAACCACAGCAGTAGAGATTTATGTTGATTATTTAAGGTTGTTTACTTGTAAATAGAACCTATGTATTTGCAAATGCAGTTTTGGCATTCATTTCAAGAGGGATAGAAAACAAGAGCAGAGATGTACTGCTGAGGCTGTATAAGGCTCTGGTCACATCACATTTGGAATATTGTGAGCAGGTCGGGCCCCGTATCCACGAAAAGATGTGCTGGTATTGGCGGTTTACAAGAATGATCCCAGGGATGAAGGGCTGGTCATTTGAGTGGTTGAGGCCTCTGGGTCTGTACTCTGCAAAGTTTACAGGGATGAGGGGTGATCTCATTGAAACTTATAGTGTACCTTGATAAAATTTTTAATTTCCATGATGATTTTGGAAATAACAGGGCTTGATTTCCAGCATACTACACCACTATGGCATAACAATTAGTCTAATCTTAGGACAACTAAAATCCTTGAAAGAAAAATAATTAACAGAAAAGCTTAGCATCAAGGCAAATCCATTGATGATTTTACTAAACCTCTATAGTATGCTGGAACTATTTGATAATGAAACTTTGAAAGCAGAATCCACAAGAGACTTTTGTTGTTGTTGGACTTCCTAATAAGTCATTGTTCAATTTATTACAGTACAAAGAAAACTTAACCTGGAGAAAGCCATTCAGATGTTGCAGGAAGCAGAAATCAGGAACCACAGAGAAACCCTTAAAAGAGCAGAGCAACCTTATTACAAAAGAACAACAGAATCCATTTAGGTTGTTGAGGTTGGTTGGCTCGCCGAGCTAGTTTCTTGTTTTGCAGATGTTTCGTTATCATGCTTGGTAACATCCTCAGTGCAGCCTCTGATGAAGCATCGGTGTGTTTTCCTGCCTGGTTTTTAAACTTTGGGGTCCGTTGAGATGGATTGCCTCACTTCCGGTTTTCCTTCGTAGTGGAATGTATATGGGGTTGAGTTCAATGTGTTTATTAATAGTATGCTTTGTGGAGTGCCATGCTTCTAGGAATTCTCGTGCCCGTCTCTGCCTAGCCTGTCCCAGGATCTTGGTGTTGTCCCAGTCGAAATGGTGGTTCTCCTTGTCCATGTGGATTGAGATGAGTGAGTATTGGTCATGTCTTTTTGTAGCCAGTTGGTGTTCATGTACTCTTGTTGTTACTTTCCTTCCTGTTTGTCCAATGTAGTGTTTCTCGCAGTCTCTGCGGGGGATCTTGTAGATGACATTGGTCCTGTCCATGGTGGGGAGTGGGTCTTTAGTTCGGGTGAGCAGTTGTCTTAGGGGTGACGTGGGTTTGTGTGCCACTCTGATGCCCAGCGGTTGTAGGAGTCTTGTGGACTCAACGGACCACAGAGTTTTAAAAACCAGGTGGGAAAACACACCGACGCTTCATTGGAGGCTGCACTGAGGATGTTACCAAGCATGGTAACGAAACGTCTGCAAAACAAGAAACCAGCTTGGCAAGCCAACCAACCTCGACACCCACAACCTGAGCTACAAATCTACTCCAAAACCTTAGAATCCATTTAGTTGATGTCCAAACCATTAAAAGGCATACAAGATGCGATAACAGAAATAGACCATACAGTAGAAACTGAGATTCAATGTCAGCACTGTGGAACAAAGAAACCTCATTGGAGAAGGCAGTGCCCAGCTACTACACAAGAATGCCATATCTGTAAAATCATAGGTCACTTCCAGAAGAGGGATGTGGACTTCGTTACAAAGCAGCAAAAGGTTAAATAGCTACTCAAAGAAAGATATTGGGAGATAGAGTAACCTACAAAAGAAGAGAAATCAAATGTGTTCCTGGGGGAAATTAGTGATTCAAGTTAATTGTTTTGGCAAGAAACAATTTGTGAATTGACATCACAATAATTTTATGTTTGAGACTGGAGCAAGTATTATTAGATTGTATACTATAGATGAAGAAACAGAGATTACATCTTACAGTAGAGAAACTACATCATCTAGGAGGTTATGAGTCATCTTTTAACCAACAATCAACAGCTATGATTTCCTTGATGTGTGTTCCATAATTGTTCCATGACCAGATGTTCTATTACTGGCACGTTGTTAAATCATTGTGGCATAACTGGCCAACTTTTGCCTGTTCATTGTCATTTGTAACTTGTTGAAAGCTTTCTGCAATTTTAATAAGGTTGAAGTCATGGAATTAGGCAGGTTTAGTAATAAGGTGAGAAAATGGATAAGTATTCTAACATTTATTTTGATTACTGTTGGGAATTGGGGTGATTAAAAGTTCACGGAAGCAGCAGCTTCTTGGTCTGAACAATTTCTGATTTTAAACTTTCTTACACTATTACAATAAATATGTTATATGATTTGGATAGGGTTCAGTCCAGTAATCCAGAAAGTGAGGTATTTGTACGCACTGAGTTCCTTGGATCTGGAATGCACCAGCTGGGAATGTGGTGGAGGCAGATTCAACAATAGCTTTTAAAAGAAAATTGGATAATAATTAAAAGATAAAGAAAATTACAGGGTGATGGGAATGTGGGACTAGGTCAGTTGCATCGTGGAGATCCAGCCCAGACACCATTTTGACCAAATGTCCTTATCTTGTGCTCTAACCATTCTATGTATTCACCATAGTCTTTTATGAAGACTATTACCAATGTTAAAGAAAGAAGTGAAGAAACATCTTTTATCAAATATTCTCGGATGTATGTATAAATAATTTGATTTTGTCCATGCGCCTTGCATTTATTGTTTATCTCCTATAAAAGGTAAAATGCAGATGTAACAAAATAGTACTACGCTTCTTTTTCTCAGATGCTAATGTCCTTTCCAATATTTCCATTTGTTTTCTGATCAATGGCGTTTTCATTTTATCTAAAATCTAGAATTTGTGATATTAAGTGCTTTGTTTGTTCCTAAAGCTTATAATAAATGATGCATTTCTTTCCACAAATGTAAGCCATTTTGTGTTCTTTGTGATAATAAACCCCTTCCCAACCCTTAATCTCAGTCTCCAGGTAGGGAAGTAGGCAGATAAGCTGATAACACATTTGTGTTTCTGTCAATTTTAGACCAGATCTCAACTAGTTTGTTGTTATGTTCTGAATAATGTTTGTATATCTCTTTGAATAACCCATGCCTGTTCTAAATGAGGAACAATTCTCTTTATGTACAAGTGACTGGAATCATAGAATCCTTACAGTGCTGAAATAGGCCATTCAGCCCATTGAATCTGCACTGGCCCTCCAAAGAGCATCTCACCCAGACCCAGCTCCCCAGCCTAACCCCATAACCCCACATTTTACCATGGCTAATGCACCTGATTTTTTTTCTCCTTTATTCATTCACAGGATGAGGGTGTTGTTGGCTAGGCAGCATTTAACGCTCATCCCTAATTGCCCAGATGATCACCAACAATCTATTCTGGTCCAACCATGTTGATGGGACAGTCAAGAAAGCACAAAAATGCCTCTACTTCTTCCGGAGGCTATCGAAATTCAGCTTGTCTGCAAAGACTCTTTACCAATTTTTATAAATGCACCATTTAAAGTATCCTATCTGGATACATCACAGCATGGTTTGGCAACTGCTGTTCCCAAGACCACAAGAAACTACAGAGAGTTGCGAACACAGCCCAGTGCATCACACAAATCAGCCTTCCATCCATTGACTCCATCTATAATTCCCGCTGCCTCAGGAAAGCAATCAACTTAATCAAAGAACCTCCCACACC